TAATATACCAACCCTTTCCTAGGGTATTTATGCTTCTTTTAAAGAAAATCTCTTGGGGCTGGGATTGTGGCTCAGCAGTAGAGTGCTTGCCTAGCACGTGGGAGGCCCTGGGTTCGATCCTCAGCACCACATAAAAATAAATAATAAAATAAAGATATTGTGTCTAGTTACAACCAAAAAAAAAAAAAACCTCTTTACTTTGATTTAATAGGCAGTAGAGATTATTAAGAACATTGAGCCTATCTTTCAACTGCAGATTCCAGGCTATGCTATTACTTTTTGTTGATGAGAATTGCAACAAAAATGTCAGACTGAGTCTTTAAACCATAGAGGGAGTATTGAATAGCTTATCATGATCCTTACATTCTTCCATTGCAGTTTGCATCTGAGGTTAGAGGACCAGGGTCCTAGGACCCCAGAGAAAGAAATTAGAACAAAGCAGTGAGAAAGTGCCTTTAATGCCTACACATTCTATTCCTACTTCAGGCATGGTGGTTTTCTGGAACCTTCCCACTAACTCGCCCCTTCAGCGGATACGGCTCTCTGATGGCTCCTTAAAGCTCTACCCCTTCCAGTGTTTCCTAGCCCATGACCAAGCTGTACGTACACTTCAGTGGTGCAAAGCTAACAGGTATAGAATAGAAGATCTGTGGAGGGGGAAGATGAAAACTGTGGCAGGCTAACTCTTCCAGGTTTGTTTAGCTTTGATTTTCTCCCATCTTTACAGTCATTTCCTAGTCTCTGCGGGAAGTGATCGGAAAATCAAATTCTGGGACCTTCGACGACCTTATGAACCAATCAATTCTATCAAGCGCTTCTTGAGTACAGAGCTAGCCTGGCTGGTCCCCTACAATGGTGTCACTGTGGCTCAGGACAACTGCTATGCCTCGTACGGCAAGATGGAGATAGGAAGAACTCTGGGGCCAGACCCTAAGGGTTGGGCTGCATGGCATGCCAGATTGTTGTGGGGAGAGATACGTTGAGCTGGTTTGCTGAGGCAGTTTGATTTGGGGAAGGAATTGAGAAGATATTAATCTAATTTTAAAAAAGGAAGGTTTTATTTTATTTCTCTTTCTCATACAGTTATGGACTTTGTGGAATTCATTATATTGATGCTGGTTATCTTGGCTTCAAGGCCTACTTCACAGCTCCTCGAAAAGGCACTGTTTGGGTGAGCCTGTCTTCTGCAGTCTTCATTACACAGAAGGATAGTCATTATTATTATTATTAGTGGTAGTCAGGAAGTGACAGTGGTTTGGGGGAGAAGGAGAATTCAGATATATGGCAACTGTATCATCAGGGACATGGGTTATGGTAAATTCAGTTTTGTTTCTGCATTCTCTCTGTCCTCTGACTGTAGACTTATTATCAATTCATAGAAATGAGTAAGTTAATGAAATTTGTCTCTTCTTATTAGAGTCTTTCAGGATCTGACTGGCTTGGGACAATAGCTGCAGGAGATATATCTGGGGAGCTCATTGCAGCTATATTGCCTGATATGGCATCGAACCCAATAAATGTCAAGCGACCTGCAGAGCGAAGATTTGTACGTATATGAACATCTAACAGCAACACCATCTGTTGGATCTTAACCACTTGCTCTCCCAATTCCTTGTAGAATACAAATTAGTACTTAGTCTCCAAGCCCTGACATTGTCCCTGAAAGTCTTGGCACAGAATTATGTACAATCTTTTTTTAAAAAAATATTTATTATTTAATTGTAGTTGGACACAATATCTTTATTTTGTTTATTTATTTTTATGTGGTGCTGAGGATCGAACCCAGGGCCTCGCACGTGCTAGGTGAGCGCTCTACTGCTGAGCCACAACCCCAGCCCCAATCTTTTTTATTCTATTGCAGCTGAGCATATATTTAAACATACTACTTTTTTCCATTATTAAGACTTTCCTGCCTCAAACCAATTTCCTCTCCTTTTGTTCTGTCTTCAGATTTTGGGGGGTTTTGTTTTTTTTGGTACAGGGAATTGAGCCCAGGCCCTCACACATGCTAAATAAGCACTCTACCACTGAACTACTTCACAGCCCTTTTTTAAATTTTTAAGATTTTGAACAGTCTCTTCAAGTTGATCAGGTTAGCCTCAAATTTGGAGTCCTCCTGCCTCAGCCTCCTGAGTAGCTGGGATTATGGGCGTGTGCCACTGCTGCCAGCTCTGTCTTCAGCATTATAGAACTTAATCTTATGGTCTCCTTTTTAGCCTATATATAAAGCTGATCTGATGCCATATCAGGACAGTCCTGAAGGTCAAGACCACTCTTCTGCTTTATCTGGGGTCCCCAATCCTCCCACAGCTCGAACTTATGCTGAAACTGTCAACCATCACTATTTGCTCTTTCAAGACACAGATTTGGTAAGTCAAGTCCAGGAAAATAGGGTGTAGTATTAGAAAAGGTAGAAAACTTTAGTCCTTGTATAATAGGAAATCCTAAGGAGTTCCATCACAAACATGCAAAATTAAGGAGCTGCTTGCTTTCTCTCTGCTGTTCCACTTCCATCCCCAGGGTTCCTTCCACAATTTGCTCCATAGAGAACCGATGCTGCGCATGCAGGAAGGAGAAGGGCATTCTCAGCTGTGCCTGGATAGGTTGCAGCTCGAGGCTATTCATAAGGTAAGAACCTTGTCTCATCTTCCCCACCCTCCACTCATTCTTCCCCAACTTTGGGTCTATGATCAATGAAATGGGAAATAAAAAGGCAATATAGATGGTTAATGAGGAGAAGTAGCTTTGGCAACCTCCTCTGGAATATAGTAGACATACCTCATTCATTGGCTTCTTATTCCTACCTCTCTCACCCCATTATAGTCCTGCCTTCTCAGATTGTGACTTTTTTTTTTCTTACAGAGCTAAGAGTTGCCCTAAAACATCACCTGTGAGCCTCTCTCTTGTTTTCTATTCATATAGGTACGTTTCAGCCCAAACCTGGACTCCTATGGATGGCTGGTATCTGGGGGGCAGTCAGGGCTGGTTCGGATCCATTTTGTCCGTGGACTCACCTCCCCACTGGGCCACCGTATGCAGCTTGAAAGCCGAGCACACTTCAGTGCTATGTTCCAACCATCCTCCCCAACTAAAGGGCCCAGCTTCCCTCCAGCCAGTCATCGCCTTCTGTCCAATCCTTAGTCTTAGTCCACACAGGACCCTTGGAATGAAATCTGCCAAGAACAAATGGCCTCCATGCGCAGGGCCATAGGAACTGGGGCCTTCCTGGACAGTGATGGCACTAGGACTGGACCTTTAGGCCTGCTTCCCCAGGACTCCTTAGACCCCTCTCCTTCTACTGACTTCTATGGTCACAGTCCCCTGCAGGCAGGGGGGCTCTCCCCCCACAAAGGCTTTTAAGCCTAAAACTATGGCTCACAAGTAACACTCAGGCCTAACATAGGCTTGGGAGTCCAATTGCTCATATTGAGCATATTGTGAAGTGGGTAAAGCTAAGTAAAGGTACTGGGTGTTTTTGAGACCACTTGTGAGTGGGTGTTTGGAGAATCAAAGACTTATCTGCATGAAGGCTTCTGTCTGTCTTCGAGGATCCAATGTTACTGCCTTCCCAAACTTCCTCTTTAGAGTAACCAACACACAAGCCCAAGAGGAGTGACAGTAATTTATTGGACTGAAGCTGCTCATAGTACCTCTTTAACTGGAGAACACCACAAACACCCTACCAGTAGAACAGTGGCTTAGCTCTTACTTGCTCCTGCTTATGAAATATTCCTGATCATTGGTCACTTGACCCTACTTGAACACTCCTAGACAGTCGTGTTTTAAAAATCTTCCTTTATATCAAGTCAGAGTATACCTCTTATTAATTTTACTTATGGGTATTAGGAAATCTAGACATTCTTCCCTGTGATTGCCCTTTTAAGTATTTAACAATAGCTATCATGTGTTTCCCTAGTATTTTTCCTCTAGATTAAATATCTTCAGTTATTTCAACCATTCTTTTACACGTCATGATTCTTGATCCTTCATGATATGGTCACATTGTTGACTTATTAAAAACGTTTATTTAAACTTTACGTATAGGAAGTGTTTAGAATATAATAAGTACAGTAATGTATTATCTTGATATTGAGTCCTCTTGTGGGATACTGTAGACTTCTAGTGACTATGATATTGCCTCCTAAGCACAAATTGATCCCTGCAAGGTAGAATAGGAAAACCATAGACTTAAGATGCATAGGAATAATGGCTGTGGTTTGGAGGGAAGTAGTTAGATGACCTAAAGGAATGGGGAGGGGGAAGCCTGTTGGAGGGAGTAGAGCTTAGTGTCTACCTGAAACAAAGACCTCTGATGCTCCAAACTGGTCATATATCTGGGAACAAATTTCTTCCTGTTTAATTTAGTCAATTTATCATATATCAGAAAACCTTGAAGAAGGCAATCAAGTGAGTAATTCAGTCCCTGTCCTATACAAAAGAAAAACAGAAAACCCAGGTTCCTTAGCAGCCAAGGAATCATAACTCACATCAGTGCAGAGGCACCAAGTGTGCACCATCCTATTGTAACCCAACTCAAGTTGTACCAGTTTTGCTTTTTGAGCTGACAGGAAAGTGCCTTGCACTAAGAGAAGCTTTGCTCTACAGAGCAACCTCTTGATGCTATTCAGCAGCCCCTTTTCTATTTCCAGTAATAAAAAATGTGTGGACCTGGTGATACGTATAGTTAGGTTGTAGGTTGGTGCCAGCCATAGTTGCTCCTGCTGTTGAGGGTCAGCCCTAATCTTAACCTCCAAAAGAAAATAAGAATGATGCTTTCAGGTCTTGATCTTTTTCTTTCCCATAAATACTGTCTCCAGGCCACTTAACTTCTAACCTATCCTTTCAATATATATAGTTTATACTCCATTCCTGCACCTTTCTATCTTCGTGTTTTTGTTCACATTATTGCCTTCTCTAGTACTGTCATTTCTGTCTCTAACTTAATCTATTCATCCTTCAAGATCCTGGCTCAGGGGTGTACCTCTGGGGGTGGAGCAAGAGTTAAGCAATGTGCAAGGCCCTGGGTTCAATCCCCAGTACGGCTTGGGGAAAAAAAAAAAAATTGAAATTTCACCCTCACTAAGGAGTTTGCCTTTAAAAAAAAAACAAAAACATTCTTCCCATGTGTTTCCAAGAGAGGAGGAAAAAAGATAAATGTTAAGCACTCATATTTTGGGTACTTGGCATATTTCTGTCCTGTAAGGTAGGTATTGCTGTTTTGTTGTTGTTGTTTGTTTTTGTTGTTGTTTTTGTTTTTAATGGCTTTATTATGTGGTGCTGAGGGTCAAATCCAGTGCTTCACACATGCTAGCTAAGTGCTCTACTACTGAGCTACAACCCCAGTCTGGTATTGCTGTTTTACTTAAAAATTAGTTTCTGAGGTTAAGCAATCTGAACAAGACATGTAACTGCAAAGTACTTGTGCTGAGATTTTGACTCAGTCTGACTTGAGAATATAACTTCCCAAACTACCATATTTAGTCTCCTATTAAATTTGCTAGTGTAAGCTCAATCTACCATGGTGTTTTGTATATAGGAAACTTTTAGTCAAATGTTTGTAACATTGAGTTTTCTTGCATCCTTACTCTGTTTCTCCAGTGTTTGAGAGAGGATTCCCCTGCTTTAATCATAGGAATTGAGTAGACCGGGCCTGGAGGTAGGCAGGTAGAGAGTTTGCAAGTCTGCCTCCTGAAATGTGAGCTACCTGGAGATAAGCAAAGGCACAGCCTGCTGAATTCCCTGCCAGGCATACTGTAGAAATTCCCACCACCCTAGGAAGAATTCTACACTACTTTCACAAAATCTTAGAATGTTAGAGCTGGAAGGGGATTAAAAGATCACCTTCCCTATTGGTTTCCAAATAGTCATGAATCCCTTTGTTAAAAATAACTTTCCAGAAGTATATATTTTGAAGAACAAAACATTTTAGTTAGAAGAATCTAGTGATAATCTTCTTCCCATCCCCCATTCCACAAACATCCCCTAGAACTGAGGATCCCAGTTTGAAAAACAGTGTAACCCCATCATTCTTACAGATGATGAAACTGAAGTGCAAGTCTAGTAAAGATCAAGGCGTGTTAGTACCTAAATTCATTCCAGAAGTTCTGTAATTCCCGTGCTTTCCATGGAAGTCATCCTTACGCAGCATTTCCAAAAGGGACTTTGTGATCAAAACACTCAACTAGTTATGAAGACGACAAATCTGAACAAGTTCTAGTTCTCCCCACTCAGGAGCTAGGCTAATGAAGAATCTAGAGACAAAAAATAACGCACGTTCGCACTGAACTATACTTGTTTCCAAAATACCACTCCTGAGATTTAGGAAGGACGTCAGGACCTTGGCCAGCTCTGCGGAAGCCCTGTGGGCGGTAAAGTGGGGTCCCTCTAGACCCCATAGAAGCCGGGGCTTGAGAGACGAGGCAGAGGCCGAACCTCGTGGGCAGAATGGCTGGCGAACCCCATGCTAACGCTCGGCGCTGTCCCCCGGAGGGGGTTGCTCACAGAGTGGGTGACCCAGCAGAGATGCTCTCCATGGGATTCCGTGGCCCGGTGACATTCCAGTCCTGCGCCTGCTGCAAGGGCTCACAGGACGCCAAGCGGAAGGGGCGGTGCTTGCGGCGGAAGTTGCCGTCTCAGGTCACGCGGGAGGCCCTGCGGCGCGCAGAGCTAGGGTTCAGGTGAGTGGCTGGTGATCTACAGTCGCTGGTTCCCAGCGCTGCGCACCTGCAGTGCCCCATAGAGCACGTGACCATTCCAGGCCCAGGCAACGATGGGTCCTGTTTTCAGTTGGAATTGCACCCGGGAGAAATGCGGGCAAATTCAATTAAGTCTGAATCTGGAGTCTGTCTGGTTTCCTTTTCGGAGGACTCTGGCTCAAAGTGAAAGCTGGAAAAAGCCTGTTCTGAGTGTTTCGGCTGGGGCTGCAGACACCCACCCAGCCCTATTTCAGAACTAGGGCTGGCTGCCACTAGGTGTCCATAGCTGCACAGTCTGCCTCTTCTCCACTTGTCTAAGGCGACACTGTCAGGAATCATCCCTCCGGAAGCCTCTGCCCTTTCCCGATGTATCAGAAGTGGAAAGAGGGAGTGGGTGCGAAGGAAATGTCAGGTGTCTTTCTCATCGTGGGTAGGGCAGTGGGAGTGACCCTTTCCTCTTGACTTGACAGAAGGCATGGCACTCTGGCGGGCGTACCAAAGGGCCCTGGCTGCTCACCCGTGGAAAGTCCAGGTCCTGACGGCTGGTGAGTGTCTGGGAACCAAGTGGGAACAGAGCAGGCTGATTAGGGAGAAGGGTGCGTTCCAAGGTATTGCCCTTATTTCCTGCTTCTGTTTAGCCTCCCGGAGGTGTTGACTCTCATCTCAATCTGTTCTGTCCCCAAAGCTATTCTAACGGGTTATGTATAATTGGCTTACCTGTAAAGTAGGATACGAAAGTTCTCAAAAAGCTGAGCAGTTGGTCTCAAGGATAAAAGCATTGCTACAGGAAAACCCGCTTGGAAAACTAAAACACTCACTTTAACATTTTTTAAATTTTTTTTTAATATTTATTTTTTGGTTGTAACTGGACACAATATCTTTATTTTATTTATTTATTTTTATGTGGTGCTGAGGATCGAACCCAAGGCCTCCCACTTGCTAGGCAAGCTCTCTACAGCTGAGCCACAATCCCAGCCCCTCCTTTAACATTTTATAGAATGCATAGCACTTTCATATGCATCATACCACAGGGGCTCCACAAAGCTCAGAGTTAGAATTACTTGACTCCAGATTAGATTACATACCCAGTAAGTGCTGATATCAAGACTCCAGTTTATTTTTCTTAGCATTTTTATTGTGAAATATGCGCCAGAATAAATATATACATTTGAAGTTTACATTGTGCTAAAACTGATCACTCCTGTATCAGTACTCAGCTTTGGCATCTCCTGTGGCACTCTCCCTAATTCACATATTCCATGAGAACTCTGAGTTTTGTTTATATCATTCTTTTGCTTTTCTTACTGTTTATTACCTATGTGTATATCCCCAAACACCGTTCTAACCAAGGATTTTTTACTCTAATCCAGTGATTAGATAGCAACTTCATGAAGGTAACCCAAGGATATCCCTACATTTGTTACTATCTTCTTTCTGCAGATTAGCTAATGCAAGGAGATAACCCAGAGATAAGCTTTAGAAGGGAAAATTAGAAGAAGGCAGTGCAAAGAGTGATCCGGGTAAGATGAGGCCTTGCCTATGTGAGGACTGTGGGATTCTGAGAAGAAAGAGTTTTAGAAGGGATAGGGCACTACTGAAAGCTAAGATTACTCAAATAAAAATTTGCAACTTCTCTGTGTGACTGACCAAGAGATGGATGGACTCTTTTGCCTCTCCTTGGGCCTCTCTTCAGCCTCCTGTGCCCAAAGACCTCTTGTCCTGTCCTCAGAGTGTCCATCAGCCTGCATGACTCACCTGGCTGTGTGTGTGGTGACTCATGCTGGATTGTGTGGCTGTGATGGGAACTGACACGCTGGGCCCTTTGCCCAGCCTCAAATTCCCTCAGGGCCCATAACTGCCAGATAGAAGATTCCCCCTTGTGGTCATCAAGAATAGAGAGAGAAGGAATGATAGCCTTTGTGTTTCCATACCCAGTGAATTTGCAGCTGACAAGGACAGGAGCTAAAGCTGAAAAGGGTCCCAAATGCAAAAATGTGGTGGAACAAGGGTCTGGTCTTTTGATATTAGAGTCCTTTGGCTTCACACCCTCAATCTTCCTGAATCTATGCTGACAACTCATTCCTGAAACAATCTGAAGATTCCTAGCACTTTTCTTAAATTTCCCCAAACTTTCAGTCTATCACTGCTGCTAGGTATATTGGGACCAAATTATAAATGAAGATGGTTTAGCTCACTGAGCCATTTTTGGACCCCAGCACAATTAGTTCCTAAGGTCCCATGGACTAGCTCATCACACTGGAAAACAGATTTCAGAATTGGAGTTAAAAAGACCAAGATATGAAAATCAGAACCATAGTACTTTATAACTGCTTTAATCAGCACAAGCCAATAAACTTCACTGGGCCTCAGTTTCCTCATTTAGAACTTGAGTTGATCTATTTAAAGTTAGCTCTTAACACAGAGTTATTTTTTTTTCTTTTTCTTAAGGGATTTAGGACTTCACGGGGTTAGTGTAAGGATTATCAATGTGGAAATTCTTTTAAAAATCCACAACAGACTTCAAGGCTCAAGGGGTTTGACCCTTTCTATGAGTCAACCCAAGCACAACAAGCCTTTCTTTTTATAGTGGGTTGAGTTTGTCCCAGTTGCCATAAATCTGTTCATGAATAGTAGGTTAGCCTTGGTTTTCCAAAAAGCAGAGCAGAAAACTTATGTGCAGGTACTTTGTTAGGGAGTAGGAAGTAATCCCACAGAGGAAAAGAGGGAGAACCAGAATAAGGATATATGGTTAAATTGTCCACTATTCTGTTCACTGTGGCTCAATCTCTTGGAACTAAGAACCTCTTTGAAATGCTTCTTAGGACTGTCTGGATGAATAGTCATTTTTGGAGAAAAGAAGAAAACTTCATTCCCTAGCTCCAATCTCACATTGGCCAAAGTGTCACCTTAGGAAGTGTTAGCTCCCCTTCCACTACCAGGTTACACAAGCATAATCACTGAAGACATTAACAGTGAGTCCCCAGGTATGGCATGGGCCCAAAGCAAGGGTCTGTTAGGTTGTACTACAGTAATGGCTGGACCAAGAGATAAGTGAGCCAAGATCTGAAATAGTTCAACGGAAGTGTCTAATACACCAGTTTTGGCCAAGCCAGAGTCAGGAACAGGGCAGCCTAGGGAAAGGTTGGCTGCATATTCTGTAGAGTCTGAGTCAGCCTTATCCCTTCCTTTCTTGAGGGCCCTTCCAGTCTCCAGTGGGCCTGGGGCCCAGTTCTGTTCATCTTCGGCCACCCTAGTACTACTATGAGAGCATCTGAGCTCCTGTAGACCCTGGTTTCCCTGAAGTCTGACTTAAGCCAGGATGTGAGAGCTCAACAGGCCTTAAAGACCATTCCTACCCACAATATTACAGAAGAGGAAATTAAGGCAAGAGTAGGGAGTGACATGTGCTGAGGTCTTATATGGTCACTGTAGGGCTGTCATTAGAACCTAGAGTACTACCTACTGCACTGCCCTGCACTTGAGACTATGGGGTCCTTCGGATGCTGAGTGCTGTCCCAGCTGGTCTGAGCTTAGACATCTGGCAAGCATCAGAACCATCCACTTTGTCTTGTTTTCCAGCAGAAGGATGGGCTAAGGCCAGGTGTGAAGAGAGCCCTCAGACCCATTCCAGAGGATGTACTCTGTCCTACCCAGGGTCAAGTCCCTACCCCAGCCAGGGAGGTAGTTAAGGAAGCTTTTGAGTAGGCAGTACTGCTGGCCCCCTGCCAGTAGTGTCTATCTGCCAACCTAGCCTCCTGTGCTTGAGGGCACACTTTCTCTCACTCCAAAAAGCTACTTCCTGTCCCTCTGTCTTCTCATCTTCCATTAGTGCTTTATTTTCTTGTACATAGGATTCCACACAAAAGCCAGTGGAGGAACAAAATATACCTTGGAAGAAGGTGTGGAAGTTGGGACTTTTTTACTAATAGGCAGGGGATGGGTCCAAGTAGATCTATGCCCAGAGATAGGCTCTCCTACCTCCTTCCCCTGGTTCTAGCAGGGAGTGACGGCATGAGAACTGGCACTTACCCAAGGGCATGATGTCACACCTGCACCAGCATCTGTAGGCTGGGCTCTGTGCCCAGCTCTGGCATTTGGGCATCACGGCCCAGCAGCCCCTTGCCCTGCCCCATCAGGGCTCTGGGCATTATGTGCCTGCAGCCCTCTAGTCCCAAATCCCAAGACCAAGGATCAGGGAGCCAGATCATAGAAGCTCAAAACTAGCAAAATATGTCTCAGGTCTCCCAGAGCCTGGGGTTTTGGGGTCTGTTTGGGCTTTGGGTTGGGAAGGATGAAATGAGGAATCTGAATATCTGACTCCTTCCTGCTCAAAGGGTCACTTGAGCCATAAATGTAGGTCTTTCTCTTTGTTTGGACCAAAGCCTTAGACTATCCTAGAGTTGCTGTAGGTAGGTCCAAGTCCCTGATCATCTGTGGGCAGAGGATGAATTTCTGGGTGCTGTTCTATTTGAAAGACCTGGCAGGGGCTGTACAGCCATAGTGCCTACTCATTCCTGTTGTTGCCATGACGCTTGGTAGTCCCTCGGGCTTGATGTGCACAGTTTGGGGCCTAGAATCCATATTTCTCAATGGCTGTGGGCTTCCATGATTATGGGCTCAGGAACTTGGACTTTCATTCCAACTCTGCCTTTACCTTGTCAGATGACTGTCAGCAAGTCATGAAGAGTAGAAATATATACCTCTCTTTAACTATTTTTTTTTCCCCAGGAGCATTGCTGCCTGCCCTCCCCACAAGGTGACAGGGAACAAAGGTGCTGAATACTGGAGAGTAAGAACAGGAAATACATTCGTTTAGGAAGCATTTCTTATATGTAAACTCTTTGGGACCTTGCTTGGACAGGAACCACTGCAGAGGAGCAGCCACAGGAGCCCATGGCTGCCCATTGACCTCCAAGCCTGTCTCAGCTTCTACTTGGAATGCTGGCCTTCTTGCTCTCCTGGCCTGGATTTGTCCCAATTCTGCTCCTTACTGAGTCACACATCTTAGTTGGATGTGTGACCATCTACCTCCAGACCTTTTGTGAGATTTATGTGAGCATTCATTGTTATCTGTAACCATCTGGCCAAAGTACACTGTCAGACTGTTAGGGCCTTCATTGAAGAAGTGCCTTTGGTCTTCCCAAGGTCACTTCTTCTTTTATGCATGGCTGCAGAAGCTCCCTGTCCTTCCTGGGAGCACAGCCAGTGCCCCCACATTGGGAGAAGACATAGTGAATTAAATGCTAACTACTTGAGAGCAGGGAGCAAGCCCTCACTTCCCTGTGGTTTTTACACCTTGATTCCAACATTCTTCATGCCTTTTCCCAGAGCAGTCCTGTTGTTTGGGATCATGCTTTTGACGTTTTTCCTTTATTTATTTCTGTACAATTGCCAGGGATTCTGTTAAGTATGGTAAGGAATAAGAAAACAAAAGTGTCTAGGATTTTGTACTTTCCCTTGAGGAGGTTATGTCTACCAGTATTCTGGGAAGAATGACTGAAAGTTTCAGGGGTGCCTTGATCTGAAATAGTTTGTACCTTGGGGACCAGAGCTATTCAGGGGTCAGCAGCCCAGATTATCTAGGGATGCCTGTCCCCAGCCCTAGCCCCCAGCTTTTCCCTGTTGCCTCTGACCAGGCTGCTAGGGCAGGGCTGTGCAGAGGGTGGTAGAGAAGAGCAGTGCCTTGAGCACGCAGCCAGCATAGACGTCAGAGCCAGTTCCAGGCCAAGGAACAGGGTTGCAGGATGTGTTTGCCCAGTGCTAATTGAGGGCATAGAGACAGTGGTGGCTTTGTGGCTGGAGGGGACTTTCATTACTCAGTGAGAGAGTTGGGCAAGCTGGAGATCAGATGGTCAATCCCAAGCGGCCCCTATAAGTGTGTGTTTGCTAGAAACCATCATAACTGATGGGGGCTCTGTAAACAATGATGATTCTGTCTTGGTTTTTGAGTGTGGATGTCTCACTGGGGCTGCATGGATCTGAGTATCTGTATAATTAAGGGGGAAGCAGAAGCAGAGGCCTGGGGAGAAATGGCTCTAATACCCATTGCCAACTCAGTCTGAGGGTACGAATGGGGAAGTCTGGATTTGACAATGCTAAGGTGGCCAGGACTCTTTCTTGTCGGGAACTCTTTCAGTTCAATCATTTTCCCACCCAGGACCATTTGAGCACTAATGTCTTAGAAAAGAGTTATCCTTGCTGTGTTCTGCAAATAGAGATCCCAAGACCAAGGTGAAAGCTGTGGGCTAAGTCTTGCATTGGGCAGAGGGAGAAAGAAACAGGGTTCTTTATTATTCTATACATGATCTATTTGTAGTACAGTGTCCTAGAAAGAACATATGTCTAGGAGTCAAGCCTCCTCTTTCTGGCTTGCCTCTTCAGTTACAGGTTATTTGAGATCGTAGACCTTTGATTCTTTACCTCTAAAATAATGGATTTGGGATCAGATGGGTTTTATTAGGTGACCGTGAGGTGGATGGCTTTTATTTTATATTCCCATGTTGCATTTTGCTAATACTTACTTTAAAATAAAAAATATAGATGAAAATAACTTTACACAATAAATTAATGTTATTTTAACTCAGTTTAAATTTAGCAAATGATAAGTATTAAATAAAATAAGGAGTTTGGATTAAATGATCTTTTAGGCTGGACGTGGTAGTACATTCCTGTAATCCCAGTGACTCAGGAAGCTGAGACAGGAGGATCAGAGGTTCAAAGCCAGCCTCAGCAACTTAATGAGACTGTAAGCAACCCAGTGAGATCCTGTCTCAAAATAAAAATAAAAAGGACTAGGGATACGGAGCTGAGGTTGTGGCTCAGCGGTAGAGCACTTGCCTCGCACATGCAAGGCACTGAGTTTGATCCTCAGCACCACATAAAAATAAATGAACAAAATAAAGGTATTGTGTCCATCTACAACTAAAAAATATTTTTTAAAAAAAGGACTAGGGATGTGGCTCAGTGGTTAAGTGCCCTTGAGTTCAATCCCTGGTACCAAAAGAGAAAGAAAGGAAAAGAAATGATCTAGTAGGCCCTTTTAATTCTGTCTATGATTTTCAGTCCTAGGACCTTAAATTCTCTTTCTTCTATCTGCTATTTCCTGACTTGACCTCCCTTTACCTCTCAGTGCAGAGTTCTTGGGTTCTGGCCTACTCAGGATATACATGAGGTGTCACCATCCTTGAAAAACAGGTGGTTTTGTGGTAGCAGGTGGGGCTAGTCATTTGCCCAGAATGAAGTCCTGGGGCTCAGAGTGCCAGAGCCTCATTCTGTCAGCGGACTTAAATTTTTGGAGCTATCCTGACAACATCTGTGTACCCTGCACAGGGTCCCTGATGGGTCTAGGTGACATTATCTCACAGCAGCTGGTGGAGAGGCGGGGTCTGCAGGAACACCAGACAGGCCGAACTCTAACCATGGTGTCCCTGGGCTGTGGCTTTGTGGTAAGTTCTGCCCACAGCAAGGCTGCACTGAACTCACTAGAGGTCTAGTTCTTTGCCATCCTGTAGTTTCCCTTGGCCTGTCACACCTAGGTCATCCTGCAGCCCTCATAGTGTCTCAGTGTATGCTTCCCCTGAGATTTGTTTTCTGATACTTGGGGGAAGAACATTGTGGCATAAAAATCAAGTGCCCCTTCACTGCATCCTGCGGCCCCAACTGGGGTTGACTTCCAGGCCCCTGTACTAGGAGGCTGGTACAAGGTGTTGGACCGGCTCATCCCTGGCACCAAAAAGGTGGATGCACTAAAGAAGATGTTGTTGGATCAGGTGAGTGAAGGAAAAGGGTGTTTGGAAGGCCGAGCTAGGTTAGGACATGGGGTAACTCACAGAGCTTTAATTTCTCTTCCCTAGGGGGCGTTTGCCCCGTGTTTTTTAGGCTGCTTCCTCCCATTGATGGGGACACTCAATGGACTGTCAGCCCAGGATAATTGGGCCAAATTACGGAGGGTAAGTGAGTCTGTGGCTAGTAGGCTGGCAACCCCAGGAAAACGTGGAGGCAGGGAGAGCCAGGAGAGGAAGGCAGTGTGGGGCTAGAGGTGTACTCTTGGGACAGAAGTTTGTATATGATATTCATGATGCGGGGGGTGGGGGGGGTGGGGGGTGGCAGCCACTTAGAGGTGCAAGTGTGAATTTGTTCCTTCTTTGTCTCCTCAGGATTATCCTGATGCCCTCCTCACCAACTACTATGTAAGAACTGACCCCTTCTGTCTGTTTTCCTGCTCCCTTAAGTCCAGAAATTCCCTGGGATTGGGGTTCTCCTGGCATAGGAATCCTTCCCTTGGGATTATTCATTCCCCCTTCAGGCCCTATGCTCAGAGAAACAATAACTTCCAGTCTTTTCTTGTGTGCAGCAGTCAGGGCAGGGCCAGGTGAGGCAGTGAGTCTGGAAGTCCCGTCGGGGAGGGAGCCATTCAACTTTTGCCTTCTCTTTTTGTAGCTCTGGCCTGCTGTGCAGTTAGCCAACTTCTACCTAGTCCCCCTGCATTACAGGTATGACAGACCCCCACCCCACCCTTCAGGGAAGATCCATGTTACCAACAATTAGAAAAAAAATGATTCTCATTTCAACCTTCACCTCCTTTAGACCTCCACCAGTATACTTTGCTCTGGTCATAACTCTTCAGACTTCCAAGCATTTTATTCATAACCTTTGGCCCTTTACAGAAACTGTTCCAGAGTGTCCCCCACTGACCTTCTATCATCTCGCTATGGAGGATCCTGCTTCTACAACTCTTGTCTCCATCCCACCTGAGCTCTCCACCTTTGATGGCATATCTGCAGAGACAGTGCCTCACTGGGGTGCTGCATCCTAGGTTAGACAGAAAGGTAGACCTAAAGGCTTTGTCAGGTTAGTTTACTGCAAAGCATTATTTTGCTTTAATAATAAAGGTCATTGCTGAGAGATAATAAAAAATAGTGTGGAACTCAAAATGAGTTGTTAAAAATGCTTGCAGGTGAGGTATCTTGGAAACAGAAAAACTCTGAAACTCTTCCGAGAAGACATGGTCAAATTTTTCATGAATAGCATAGTTAAAGGAATACCTACTTACAAACCAATTCCTAAACATAAGTGTCCTTTGCAGCAGTCTTTGAAACTAGAGCAAAGTCAAGTTAAAATAAAGAAGGTCCTAGTGACTGGGAAGGCTGAGGCAGGAGGGTTGCAAGCTTGAGGCCAGCCTGGGCAACTTAAAAAGACCCTGTCTCAAAATAAAAAAATTTAAAAGGCTGGTGATATAGCTTAGTAGTAGAGCATTTGGCTAGTATGCACAAGGGTTTGATCCCTGGCACTACAAAAAGCAAACAAGAAAAGGTTCTATTTTATACACAGGTAGCAAATTTTTTGGAAGGTGGAATCTCCTCAGTTGGTACAAGATGGACAGATAAATATATTTTGAAGGGGCCTGGACAGGTTATGAATAACAGACTGTGCCTGACAAGAACTGCTGGGTTCTTAACTGTTGAGACCTTCATCTGGAATTCAGGGCCCTGGGAGAGAATGAGAATCTGAGCTAGTTCTGGTCTGCGCCACGTAGTCCCTCCATAGGGGCTGGAGGAAGAAGACTCAAATCTGGAAATTCTCAGAATGCTGCCTCCTTTTCCTTTGCACTCTCCCTATCCTATTCCATTCTCCCCCTTCCGTGCTTTTTAGTCTCCCTCCTCACAATGCATTCCTGTTCCTAGGTTGGCTGTTGTCCAGTGTGTTGCTGTCATTTGGAACTCCTACCTGTCATGGAAAGCACATCAGTTCTAGCCTGCCTTGCTTCATCATTGCCACCCGCAGTGATTCACCATGATCCCGGGATTGTCAGACAGTCTCCTCAAAATGGGCATATCAATGTCCATGGGGTTGGAAGTGCTGGTCAGAACTTGATGAGATGAGCACTCTGAAATGGGACATTTCATTTTAAACTGTAAACTGCTTCTGAAAATCACTAGCCCTTTATAATACATTCATGCAATGCTTATCAACAGTACGTTCTGAGAACTATCATTAGGCAATTTCATTGTCATGCAAACATCATTGAGTATACTTACACAAACCTAGGTGGTATAGATCAGTCACTTGATGTGGCCTCTTGATGCAGAGAAGAGACATGGTAAATATGAGGTGTATGAAGATTGCTACCCGTCTAACACCACATAAAGGTTTTTTTCCTAAATTAGAGAAGACTCTAAAATAACGAAAAGCCAGGTTCTGTGGTGTATTCCTGTAATCCCAACAACTCAGGAGGCTGAGGCAGGAGTTCAAGGCCAACTTTAGCAAGCAATCATGTGTCAAAAAATAAAAAGGGCTGGGAATGTGATTCAGTGGTTAAGCACCCCTGGGTTAAATCCCTGGTACCAAAAAGACAACAACAAGAAAAACTTTGAGTCATAAAATAATGATAAAGTAAATAAATAAACCAGTAATATTGTCTTTATTATTATTATCAAGTTTTATGTGCTGCACATAAGTCATACATGCTATACTTTAAAGCAACTGGGGATGCAGTAGGTTTGTTCCCACCAGCATCACTACAAACATAGGATTAATGCATTGTGCTGTGATGTTAAAACAGTTACCATGTCACTAGGTGGTAAGATAGGAGTTTCCAACTTCATTACAATTTTATAGGGTCACCATTATGTATATGGTCTGTCATTGACTGAAACATTGTTTATGGCACATGACAGTCTTATTCCCACTCATGCCAACTTTTCATTTACATGTCTGTTCCCTTCCCAACCCTAGTGCTCTTTGGGATCCCTTCAAACTCTTTATTGTGCTTCAGTAAATGTTTTAAATACATAATCTGGAACGTGCAGAGGTCCGGAGTAAGACCCAGGAGAAAACTATAAAAATAGCTATTGATGGAAAGAAGCCTATATCCTCCAAGTCTTCATTTACAAATGCAGACGATAAGGTCTGTGGAAGTGAGGTAACCTGTCTAAGAGTGGCAGAATAAAAACTTGAACCCAATTTTCTTATTTCCTGCCTACTGATCTTAACTACAGGGGCAAAGGCATAATACTGCTATTATGATTTCTGGAAGAAAAACTGGTATTTGTTAAACTTCCACTTTGAAGAAACTCAGAAACAAATGGCCCAGCCAGAAATCCTCATATTTGGTGCTCAGACAGCTGTAGAATTTAGATTCCAGGGCTGTAATAAGGTCAAGAGTCTGGGGATACTTAAGTTGTGGCGGGCTGCCTATAGTGTTGGCTGAGTGCCAGCACAGGTTCTGGATTCCCCCAGTCTACAACCTGATAATGGGCTAGGGACTGGATCTGAGCATCCCAGAGTTCTCCCCCAGGCTTCTTGCCAGTTCTTCGCATCTAAAAGACAGGGTCAGCACCATAGACAGCGCCATGGTCCCACCTCCCTTCTGTGTGCCAGAGGCCAGGAACCAGGTTAGTCTGATGTGGCGACCAGCTCTAGTCTCTGCTGTCTGTTCTAGACAGGGAGAAGGACTTGGGTCGTAGAGCAATCTTCGGGAGCCGGCTTCTCTTCCAATTCTAATGCTGCTTCCAGTGCTAGCCCTAGGGACACTAAGTCAAATGTCAAGAAATGTACCGCTCTGGGGGCTCGAAACCTCTGGACTCAAAGTTGCTGTCATTGCTTCTACAATCAGTTCATGTTCTTGGCTGACGTCAGTCGGAGCTGTCCTAGCGCTATATAAGGCTGGCGGCAGTCCCGGGACAGACCCTGTGCTCCCCAAGGAGCCCTCAGTCCAGCCCGAGGGACAGAGACTGGAGCTCCGTCTTGCATCAGGCAGACACTCTCCGATAACCTGTGAGTGAAGGGAGCGGCCGTCTAGATTCCCTGAGCACCAAGACTCAGCCCATCAACCGCGGCCTTCCGGGAGGCGGGGAAGAAGGGAGAGAGTGGTGGAACTGGATTGGCGCAGCGGCTGGGGCTGGGAGGCAGACTTGGGGCACTGGGCAGAAGCTGGAGGGTCCTGGCGGTGATGCTGGGCATGCGCTGATAAGGGTCACACCACCTGCGGCTGTCCCAGGCGCACCTCACCCTGCGCAACCTGTGTGTCTAGGGCCGGTGGCACCATGAAGCAAGCGGGACGCGCGGCACTGCTGGTGGGGCTGCTGCTTCTGGCCCAGCTGCGTCCCGGGGGCAGCCAGTGGAGCCCGGCGGCGGCAGCTGGGACCGAGGTCCAGGACCCGAGTCTTCGATGGAGCGCCGGGGCGCGGAACCAGGGTGGTGGGGCTCGCGCTCTTCTCTTGCTACTGGCAGAGCGCTTCCCGCGCCGCACTGGGCTCACCCGATGGGGATCCCGGACTGCAGGCGAGCGGCCACGACGCGACGACCCTCCACTGTCCATCGACCTCACATTCCACCTGCTGCGGACCCTGCTGGAGCTGGCCCGGACGCAGAGTCAGCGTGAGCGTGCGGAGCAAAACCGCATCATACTCGACTCTGTGGGCAAGTGATCCGCCCAGTCCCGGACTGCGAAAACCTTGACCCCTTCCCCCACCCGGAGGCTGAAAGGTGCGCGACCGGAACTAACCCAGTCCCGCCATGCAGAGTGGCCCAGAGACGCTCTGAGCACCTCTGCTTGTCTATTTTTTAATAAAAGTGCTTAAGAGCCTTTGACTCCTGTCGTGGGGGCTCGGGCAAGCACAGCAGGGAATCCGTGGGAGAGGCAGGAGAGGCCCCAATCTTGATGGGGAGAAGGTCAGGGAGAACTGTTTTCAGTCAAGGCTCTAGGGGTACCATTACCTCCCCCTCTCCCAAATTCCTAAATTCAGAGGTCCCGCAACCTCCACGCTACCCTCGACCCTCTCCCCAGGTCATTGGGCTCACGAGTCCGCGTCGGGCATCAGGGAGGTGCTCAAATAGAGGTTCATTTCATTTTTGCCCCCCAAGTGATCTCAGGCGGGGAAGGGCGCTTTGGTGGCGAAGTCGCCTCCGGAGCCCTGAATGGGGGAGTAGCCAGCGAAACGAGATACGCATCTGGGACGCAAAATTCCTTTATTGAGGCCTTCCCCTGGCGCCTGGCGCCAAAGTGGGTGGCGGCGGTGGTCTCTGTACAGATACTCCAGGACGCTGGCGCCAGGTTCCGTGCGCGTGGGCTCTCGACTAGGGATCGGGTCAGTGCAGCCCTGTGCCAGGCAAAGAAAGCTCAATGGGCGAGTGACTCAAAGAACAATGGTAGCCCCGAAGATCGGCTCACTGCCTTTCGCCAGTCACCGGGTTGGTTTCTTGCAAACTCAACCCGATCTCGTAGAGCCCCAGAATGAATGGGAGGAAAGAGCGTTTTCTGCACGCTAGGGGGCGCTCTTTTGTAGCACTGGGATTAGATGGCACTTTATTGGGGGCTGTCGGTGAGCCCTGATGTGGCTGGGAAGGCAATCACCCGAGGACGGAACATGAAAGTGCCAGCCAGACCACGCACCAAGCCCCTCTGCGCCACTCTCACCTTCTGACCCGTCCAGTCGCTCTTCCTCTGGTCCTGCACTGCCCTCGTCCCCGTCCAGCGCCACCTCCTCATCCTCTTCTTCCCCAGCGGCGCCTGGGAGGAAAGAAAGCCATTGAGGTGGAGTCCTTGCTGTTCTGGACATCGTATTACTTCACCCCCATACTGAGGTTCTGGAAGTGCAGTCCCTCCTTCCCTCCCTGGCTCCCTCACCCGGCTGGAAGTCGATGGTCCTCAGCATTTCGGCCACGTGCTCCACGCTCACAGAAAATTGCTCCATGCTTTCGTAGCCTGGCTCCGGCCGTCCCGCTAGCTCCACTTTCGACATTGTCCCGACCCTGCGGTGGCCACAGCTGCTCAGCGGGCAACGCCCAGTACCCTCAGCCCCTCCCAGTGCCAGAGGCATCGGCTCGGCCACTTCCTTTCCCTTCCCGCGGAGCCCACTTACTTACTGATCAGCTCCTTGGCCTGCTGCAGGGAAGAAAAAAGAGGGTGAGAGTAAGTGCTGGGCTAGCCCCGGCAAAGCCCAGTTTCTGATTCTTACCACAGTCCTGTAGGGTAGGTGGGAATGCATATCACAAGTCGTTTAGTACATATCACAAGTCGTTTAGTGCATATCACAAGTCGTTTAGTGCATGTCACAAGTCGTTAGGAGAAAGCAACGGCAGAGGGAGTGACCTGGCCAGGCTCGTGGGGGCAAATAGGTACAAGAGATAAGACCTGAATTTGGGTTTCACGTGCCAATGCCCCCCTGACTTCAGCCACTGTGCCGGGCTGCCGCCTTCCCCAGGGGCCAACCTGCAGGTATAGTGCCATCTGCGGCTCCTCCATGGACTGGATGGCTGACTCCACCAGTTTAGAGGAAGCCTCAAGGTGATCTCCATACTGACGGATGAGTCCGCGGACGCGCTGCAGCTTCTCTTCCTGCTCCCGAGCCAGCGCTTGCAGGAGCTCGCCCTTACGCTCCTCCAGCACCGCGCACAGGGTCTCGAACCTCTGGTTTAGCAACTGCTTCTGCCTGCGGCTGTTGTCCTGAAAGACTCGATCATGAGGGAAGGTGTGGCTGGGACCTATAGCTGAGAGAGCTGGACATTCGTCTGTTCCCCACTTAACGGAACTCACAGAGAGCCAAGAATTAAAGTGACCTGACCATGGCTATACCTGAGTTAGGGGCATGGCCAGTATCCAACCCAGATCTTTTAGATAACATGACATCTCAAAGTAGCTTCCCTGGGTGCTATCTATATTCCTGGCCTTGGTTTTGATTGGCGTTATTCCATTTAATTCACAAAAGTGCCAGTCAGGGGCTGGGGATATAGCTCAATTGGTAGAGTGCTTGCTTTGCATGCACAAGTCCCTGGGTTCAATCCCCAGCACCATTAAAAAAAAAAAAAAAAAAAAAAAAAGACCCAATGAGACAGCCAGTATATCATTATCATCGTCACTATTTTATGCAATTAAAAACAAAACCAAAGCACAGATAAGTTAAATAACTGGGCCAAAGTCACAGAGCTAGTGAGCAGCAGATCTGGGATTCAATCCAGCAGCCTAAGCACACTCCACCACTTCCAGGAGCCCAGAATCTGTCTTGCCAATTTGACCAGCAATCAGAGAGGAAAAACTATCTTTGGAGCTTGAGGTCTCCAGGCCAGCCCCTTTCCATCCTCTCCTCCCTCCCTAGCCCAGGCTCACCTCAATGGTCTGGCACACCTCCTCCATCTGTGTGATCACTGCTTGCACACGGTCGTTTCCTGCCACCAGCATTGCAATGCCATCGCTGAGCTCACTCTACCACACACAAAGGTCAGCTCTTAGAGCTGGAGAACCTGTCCTGCAGTCATACCCCTGTCACCCCCAGCCAGTGCTGCCTAGAAGACTGAACTCTCTACATCAAAGATCTAGGAGGCTTGAAACTATTTAAGAAGTATGGAGACGCATTCTATGAAATCTGGAAGAAGGTAGAGAGGAGAGTCCCACCATCAAATGAAAAAGGAATAAACATTCTCGTAATATTGCCATGTGCCAGGCACTGACTTGGTGCTTAATCTGTAGATTTTTTTGTCTTCCATTAGTTCTGAAAAAATTCTGTGATATCCATTCAGATAATATTGCCTCTTCTCTAGTCTCTTTATTATCTCATCCTGGGAATCTGATAAGACTTATGCTAAGCCTTCTCATCCTCAACCTTCTCACCTCCCAGTGCTACATTATAGTCGTTTTTTTTCAGTCCTTTTATCATATTCATTAATTCTCTCTTCAGAGAAATTTCATTCAATTCATCCATTGAATGTTTTATTTAAATAATTGTAACTTAATTTATAAAAGTTCTATTTGGTGCTTTGTCAGATATGCATGGTCACTTTTAATGTTCTATAATTTCTTTTAAAAAATATCCCATCTTTTAAAAAGCATTTATTCATAGTGACTTTTTATTCTTTAATAATTCCAACATCTGGGCCTGGGGTTGTAGTTCAGTGGCAGAGCACTTGCCTAGCATGTGTGAGGCACTGGGTTCGATTCTCAGTACCACATATAAGATAAAGGTCCATTAACAAGTAAGAAATATTTTATAAAAATAATTCCAATATCTGAATTCCTCAAGCATCTGAATTATAATTTTTGTTTCTGCTGACTTCACTCATGGAGTTCATTCTTCTGTGTATCTTCAATTTTAAACTAATATTTTGTTGATCTTAATCAACAAAATCTAAGTGCTAAATTGAGGATATTTTCCTCCAGGCAGAATTTGCAATTGCTCTTGTCAAAGGCCAGGTGGCGCAGCTGATGATGTTAGCTCCAGGGTTTCAGTTTAACCTGGGGTCTTGGGAGTCTTAGAGCAGCTCCCCCACCTTTTAGAGATTTGAAGGCATCGCCTCTTCTGTCAAGCTCTGTGACACTGCCGGCATCAACCCCCTGGGAAATGGTGTCTTTGCTGGCTGCCAAGGGCTCTGTTTTCATCTGGCTCTCTCCTCCTCACCCTGCCCCACTCCACTTGGAGTTTTCTTTCACTTCCTATGTGCCAACCAATCTAATTTTAAAATTATGCTTTATGCAGAAATTAGTTGTGTGATAGGGAGGGGACCTTGAGCATATCTAGTCCACCACACCGAAATCTGTTTTCATCCATTATCTAATATTATGCTTATAACAGCTCTCAAAAGTAGGTATTTCCACTTTCTGTTTTATAATTGAGGAAAGTGAGGTCCAGAGAGGTCTAGTAACTTACTCCGGGCCAAGCAGGGTCAGGCCTAGAACTGCGCAGTTAGCCTGATCCGCTAGACTGCTCAAGCAAGTGGAGCGAAAAGGCTGACCCTGTCCTATGCTCCCACTCGAACTCCCCTCCCTGCTTGATACCTTCTGGCGTTTGTAAATAGTGGGCAGTGGAGCCACCTCACAGTCCTTGTGGGCACCAAAGACCTTGCAGAGAGAGCAGGTAGGCACTTCACAGCTCAAGCAGTAGATATTGATCTTCTCCTCCTCGTGTTCCTCACACATGAGGTGCTGCTCAGCCTTGGAGTGCAGTGGCCTTGAGGGGAGCAAGCAGGGTGGCAGTGAGGGTCAGGGGCCAGGGAGGTGAGCCCAGAGTGCTGAGTCTCCACTCAACTGCCATTACCTCCCTGCAGCTCGTGCTGTAGGTGGGTGAGTGGTTTCCATGTCAATTTGGGGAGGGGATGCAGCTAAGAGGTAGAGGAGATCTGGATCCAAAACAAGTCTCTATTCCTGGGGGCAAGACTGTCCCATAGGACAGGAAGTCATGGAGGGTTGGCAAGGTCAAGAGTCTTGCTGGTAGACTCCCAGCCCCACCCCAAGAGGAGAGGGTGAAGGAGAAGTACTACCAGGGAATCAGAGTCTGCCATCCCAGCATGATCTGGGCCAAGTCCCTCCCCTCTGTGGGTCCAGGCCTCTCCTCTCTAAACTGAAGAGGCAGTTGATTGTTCCCTTCCCTCCCTTCTGGCCCTGATGGGCTCCTTGGCAGAGTCCCTGGCCCTGATCTTGTGAGAGGTGAGAGGCAAGAGTCCCTAACAGCTTACCGAGAAGACTCCTGCTTATAAATGTCTATAATGTTCTCCACTAGCAGGTTTCGCTGCAGGCCATACACACCGTGTCGATCCAGGACCACCTCATGCCTGCAAGATGGGCACCGGAAACGGCCTCCTGAAGACACAGCAGTGGAGCCCCGGGATTGCCATAGAGGGTTCGAGGCCTGTGAAAATAGGTGGCACAAGAGAACAAGACAGTGAGGGTGCAGGAACTTGGAGGAGGAAGGAAGAAGGGTCTTGGGGGATGGGGAGTAGGACAGTTGTGGTTGGGGTGGCATTAGCTCTTTTTTACTATGGCTGGGCTTTCCCTAGAAGCAGCTCAGGGAAAGGTAGCCCAGAAGCTGGTTTCTGGCCTTTATCTCATTACTCAGCCCAGCTCCTTGTACATCCCTGCAGCTTTGGCTAAGGTCGAGTGAGGATGAGATCTCTGCAGAGGGGCTCAGCTCAAAGCTTTGGTAGGAAGGCTGAGCCATGCAGCCAGTGTTCCCTAGACTAGGACCCTCTGGGCCATGTCTGGGGAGAGTCTCTGCAGTCTTAGGCAGGAGTGCACACAATGCAAGTGCTGAACAATGAGGCAGAGAAACCATAATTAACCAGGTCATTCTGGAAGGTCCCTTCAGGCATTGGTAGTCAGGAGTTCTGGTTCTTGGGCTGCCCCTGGCACTTTTTAATTTTTTTACTCTGTAAATTTGTCAAGCATTCAACCTGTGTAGTTAAAAACTAAATTGGATTATTCATTTTACATTAGATATGGAGTATGCCAAGTAGTTGCTATGTTCTGGGTTAAGTATGTGAAGAAAATGTACCTTAGCCAGGTGAGGTGGAGCACACCTGTAATCCCAGTGACTCAGGAGGCTAAGGTGAGAGTGTGACAAGTTGGGGCAATTTAGCAAGAACCTCAGCAATTTAGTGAGATCCTATCTCAAAATAAAAAAAAAAAAGGGACTAGGGATATAGCTCAGTGGTAAAGTGCCCATGGGTTTAATCCCCAGAACCAAAAGAATAATAATAATAATAACAATAACAACAACAACAATGCACCCTTGCCCTGAGGACAAGCAGACAACTTGCACCTAGTGCAAGGGGCATGATCATAGGGAAAGCAGGCTTACCAGAGAATTGCTCCATCCCATTCTAAAAGGGAGTGCCCTGCCATGCCCACCAGAGGTGACTGGCTCAGAGCTGAGGACCAATCTACTGTTCTCCCAGAAACTTGGAATTAAGACCCGGGGACTGAGCTAGCTACATCATGTGCTGCTTTGGAACCAAGAAGGCTTGTGGGTGGAGCTAAGAGTATACACTGTGGCCATCCCAGAAAGTGTGATGGTCAGAAACTATGAATAGAGTAGGCCGGTCTACAGGAAGGAGAAAAGAATCAATCTGTGGAGAGAAGTAGAGATGAAAGACTGGCAGAGATTGCACATTGTTCCCCCATATTCACCTCTTCTTCAATAGAGCCCCTGAGTTTTAGCAAGATAAATGATATAAAGTCTGCATATCCAAGCCTCCCTTCCAGCTGGATGTGCCCACTGACTATGTTCTAGGAGGTAAGTAGAAATGCTTGGTATAATTTTTAGGAAGTATCTTTAATGGGAGGTGCATGTCCTACTTTCCCTCTTCTTCCCTGCTGCCTGGAATGAAGATGGGATGGGTCAAGTTGAAGCAGCTATCTTGAGCCATGAGGTAGTAGATACAGGTTGAGAATGACAACAAAATCAAGAAGCAGGGATGGGGTTGCTCAGTGTAGAGCGCTTGCCTAGCACATGTGAGGCCCTGGGTTCAATCATTAGCACCACATAAAAATGAAATAAGGATATTGTGTCCACCTATAACTAAAAAATAAATATTAAAAAAATAAAGAAGCAGGTCTCTGACGAAGCAGTCCTAGACTGCCCATCCATATTTTTCCTTCTTCAAGCCACTGTTATTTCTTCTCTTTTTTTCTTCCCCTAGTACTCAGAATTAAACCCAGGGTTCTCTACCACTGAACCACACCTCCAGTCTTTTTTATTTATTTTTT